TTTGTGTTTTTTTTTTTTTTTTTTTTTTTTTTTTGTAGCCAACACCTGATCACCATTAGGAATAAAGTAGAACAGAAATAATGATCTACACTCTAATCCAAATCCTTAACCTCTGACCTTGCAAAATTAGTGTGGCTCAGCTGTCCCAAAACGTGTATTTTGTCATATGGAAGTTAAAGTTCCACTTTTTACCGGTTGACAAACCGCTGACAGAGACGAGCGGCGCCAGGTGTTGAAGACCCCCAACTCGGCACTTTACTTTTGTAGAAATACTTCAAGCATTCAGGCACATCCTGGGGCGAAATATGAAGATAATATAATTACAGAGTGCACAAACATACTCACATTCTTTCATTCAATGCTTGCTTTTGCCAAATGGTAAGCAACCACACAAACCTCAAATTGTTCCACAAGGTCCGCGTGAACAAAAAGTAAGAGTGACAGAAGCGTGTACAGAGTTGCCAAGGTGTCCATTTTGGGTTTCCTTGGATTGAAGAGAGCAAAAAGATGAGAAATATGAACTATTAATTTGCCGTGTAGCTCCGGGTGATATTTATTTGCAGTGCAGTTCATGTGTGTATGTCCACTCACCACGCCTCACACTTGTCAGCTGCCGCGGTGTGCACCGAGGTGAGAGAGGGGGACTTTCATATATACAGTACATGGCTTCACATCACCTTTCACCTTCTTTGCTAACTTTCTTTATCTCGACTTAAGCCAACACGTGAGGAAAAAATGTGTGTCTGTGTATTCTTTTACGCCAGCATTAGGGAGCCATCAATTCAAACTGGTACATAAAATAAATATTTTGATCCATTTTTTTTTTTTTGCGGTTATGGTCGGAGTATGATAAGTACAATTGTGTACTCAATTATGAACAGACAGTTATGACCACTGCGGAAACTATTATGGTATGCAAATATTTTTAAAATTACTTTTTGATGATTTGAAATATTTTCTTTCCTATTACCCTGAGCACTTCAAATTCAAAACCCCATGAGGCAAACTGATAATGCATTAGAGGCATGTTCATTTGACACTGTTTGGCAATAGAGAGCTGAAACGAGTGGTGCAAAACATGCGTAAGTGTGCTTGGCAGGTTTGCTAACAAATTTGCACACAGCAGCACCGGGTTATCGATTTCTTCATGTGTTGTTTTTCCCACGATCACAACACAGGTGGTGTGATAACATCATTCAAAACTCTTTGCTCTTACTTGCATCGACATGATCACATTACCCAATTAAGTTAAATTAGCCAAACTCATGCATAGACATGTAATCGGGGTGGATTCTGTTAAAACATGACCTGAGCTACCAAATTTTCGTTCTGGAAAAAAGGCAATGGAATTGCATTGCCTTCTTTCTTTTTGTTTTTGCTGTGGCAATATTTTCTGAACTGAATGATCAAGAGTTGGCTATTATCCTTGAAACAGGAGGACAGGTTGTGTGGAGCAAACACAGACTGAAGTATTAAACATCGTCTGAGTAACACACGCAGTGGCTGTGCTGAATTTTTTTTTCTGGGAATGAAAAACCCAAGCCCCCCAACACACATATTCGGTTTTCACCAGATGCACCTGCGTGCCAATTGTAGGTTGTCGATGGATGTTGGCCAGGTAGTCAGGATAAAAGATGGACTTTTGCTCTCCCCCACAATATCAGTCAAGTTTATTTATTCAGTTGTTGACGGCCATTTGAATTAAAAGCACCACCTGAAGATTGGATAAGGTTTAATTTGAAATGAAGCCAAAGAAAGCCATGCAGGCGAGCCAAAACAGACAGTGAGCATTGGGGATTAGACAAAACAAACCGAGCTTTATTTAATCAGCCTTGTATTTTCCCATTACTTTGCTCTGTATTCATTTTTCACATTAAGTACTCAGCATAAATCTGTCTGAGAGACATTTGGCGACAACATGTGAAGTTGTCATAATTCTTTTATTATGAAGGTCCCTGAATGAAACGATTGTTTAATGACTCGTATTGTTTTTATTTTTTTTTTTATCCATCCATTTTCCAATCCATATCCCTGCCTTCTGATTTCAAAACTAGTTAGCGATCAATTCATTGTGTAGACCTATATGCGATCATGTGTCAGGCGATCATGTTCACATTCAAAATGGACCTTGGTGGGAAATCATAATTACGGCGTGGCTCGCCACCAAAATGAGTTTTACACCCCTGGAGTCTTTATGTTCCCTGTTAGTGACAGTCAAGGGTGTACGCCACATCACGCTTATGCTGGAGTCGGCTTCAACCCACCCACGACCCAATTGAGGGTCAGTCATACAGAAAATGGAGGACTGACACCACCAGTTGGACCACAACGCGCTGAATACGTTGTTGTTCAAAACAGCTAACTGCGTTGTCTATTTGAGGCTGGTGAGAAAATAAATATGTCTGTACATGAATTGTATGGAAGCGTTTTGATTACCTGCATGATGTCCATTGGGGTTCAGGTGACCTCGGTCAAAGCCGGAGTGTGTGTAGTCCTCATTGAGAGCCTGTTTCTCGCCTAGGTAGATCCCAGGATGATCTCGCCCCAGCCAGTAACCATCCTTCATCTCTGCTTGCCACGATTTATTGACTAGCTAGAAGAACATCAGAAACTCCACTTTTAACAAATGTCACCATAGACACAGCTGTCTTTGCTTTTATGAGCTGAGGGTGTCACTAACATCGTGCATGAGAGCACCACGTAGCCCCCCATGGACCGCATCAGTAGTCCACAGGCCTGTTGTGCAAGTAGTTGCACTCGTGAGGAGACATTGTGATTTCCTCGGTAAAAGTGATCATTTAAAAAATATGCTGAGATGTTGATGTTGCTCACTTTCCTACCTTGTAAAATTATTGTTGGTAAATTATTGTGAGAAATCCTTAATAACTGATTAATAAATGATTAATAACAACATACAATTCAAAGGTGATTTCAGCAAATGTATTATTTCAAAAATGTACCTCAATCTGGTCGCTCTTGAAAATTAATCAGTACTCGAGAAGTAGCTCTCAGTTTCAAAAAAGCTGGTGACCGCTGTAACTAGCTGCACTTCATCATGTGTTGGCTTTATCAAAAGACTTAAGAGTATATACGGTATACAATTATTATTATGATTAATATTGTTCTGTGTTGTACCAACCTGAGGCTCTACAAACCACCTTCTCTCCCGTCCACCTCCATTGCTGGGCTGGAACACGTATGCCGAGTAAACCGCGATACGATGGTTTGTGTCGTATAATGTGGCAAAGTGGTACCTGGAAGTGTAAAAGAAGACTTTTTTTTTTTTCTTTCACGTGTTGACCACTGATGTTTTTGGACACGCTTGCGTATGATTTGGAAGAGAAGGTGTGTCCAAAAAAGTTACACAACCCATTTTGGCTAGCGGTCACATTGTCAACAACTCATCTCGGATGAGTTTTGTGTGATTACTTTACTTTTGTAGAAATACTTCAAGCATTCAGGCACATCCTGGGGCGAAATATGAAGATAATATAATTACAGAGTGCACAAACATACTCACATTCTTTCATTCAATGCTTGCTTTTGCCAAATGGTAAGCAACCACACAAACCTCAAATTGTTCCACAAGGTCCGCGTGAACAAAAAGTAAGAGTGACAGAAGCGTGTACAGAGTTGCCAAGGTGTCCATTTTGGGTTTCCTTGGATTGAAGAGAGCAAAAAGATGAGAAATATGAACTATTAATTTGCCGTGTAGCTCCGGGTGATATTTATTTGCAGTGCAGTTCATGTGTGTATGTCCACTCACCACGCCTCACACTTGTCAGCTGCCGCGGTGTGCACCGAGGTGAGAGAGGGGGACTTTCATATATACAGTACATGGCTTCACATCACCTTTCACCTTCTTTGCTAACTTTCTTTATCTCGACTTAAGCCAACACGTGAGGAAAAAATGTGTGTCTGTGTATTCTTTTACGCCAGCATTAGGGAGCCATCAATTCAAACTGGTACATAAAATAAATATTTTGATCCATTTTTTTTTTTTTGCGGTTATGGTCGGAGTATGATAAGTACAATTGTGTACTCAATTATGAACAGACAGTTATGACCACTGCGGAAACTATTATGGTATGCAAATATTTTTAAAATTACTTTTTGATGATTTGAAATATTTTCTTTCCTATTACCCTGAGCACTTCAAATTCAAAACCCCATGAGGCAAACTGATAATGCATTAGAGGCATGTTCATTTGACACTGTTTGGCAATAGAGAGCTGAAACGAGTGGTGCAAAACATGCGTAAGTGTGCTTGGCAGGTTTGCTAACAAATTTGCACACAGCAGCACCGGGTTATCGATTTCTTCATGTGTTGTTTTTCCCACGATCACAACACAGGTGGTGTGATAACATCATTCAAAACTCTTTGCTCTTACTTGCATCGACATGATCACATTACCCAATTAAGTTAAATTAGCCAAACTCATGCATAGACATGTAATCGGGGTGGATTCTGTTAAAACATGACCTGAGCTACCAAATTTTCGTTCTGGAAAAAAGGCAATGGAATTGCATTGCCTTCTTTCTTTTTGTTTTTGCTGTGGCAATATTTTCTACTCTGAATGATCAAGAGTTGGCTATTATCCTTGAAACAGGAGGACAGGTTGTGTGGAGCAAACAGACTGAAGAGTATTAAACATCGTCTGAGTAACACACGCAGTGGCTGTGCTGAATTTTTTTTTCTGGGAATGAAAAACCCAAGCCCCCCAACACACATATTCGGTTTTCACCAGATGCACCTGCGTGCCAATTGTAGGTTGTCGATGGATGTTGGCCAGGTAGTCAGGATAAAAGATGGACTTTTGCTCTCCCCCACAATATCAGTCAAGTTTATTTATTCAGTTGTTGACGGCCATTTGAATTAAAAGCACCACCTGAAGATTGGATAAGGTTTAATTTGAAATGAAGCCAAAGAAAGCCATGCAGGCGAGCCAAAACAGACAGTGAGCATTGGGGATTAGACAAAACAAACCGAGCTTTATTTAATCAGCCTTGTATTTTCCCATTACTTTGCTCTGTATTCATTTTTCACATTAAGTACTCAGCATAAATCTGTCTGAGAGACATTTGGCGACAACATGTGAAGTTGTCATAATTCTTTTATTATGAAGGTCCCTGAATGAAACGATTGTTTAATGACTCGTATTGTTTTTATTTTTTTTTTATTTTTTAAACACAATAAACAAGAAAGGGCGGGCAGATAATAAAGTGAATCAGTGGCAATTAGTTTGAATGATCAAACTTTATTGTCTGGAACTGATCAAAGAAGAAATCAAGCAACCACTGTATTTTTGCATTCACCTGAATTCTCATGATCAACATTTCCTAGTGAATTGTGGTTAGTTGCCTTGAATAATATTTACCCCTCCATCCAGGCACTGCATACACTCGTGCTGCTATTGCCTGAGGGAAAGAAAGTGGATGTTACTTAAGGCTGCTTTTTTTTTTTTCTTTCACGTGTTGACCACTGATGTTTTTGGACACGCTTGCGTATGATTTGGAAGAGAAGGTGTGTCCAAAAAAGTTACACAACCCATTTTGGCTAGCGGTCACATTGTCAACAACTCATCTCGGATTCAATTGCTCCACCTAAACCAGAAAAAATGTCCTCGACAAATTGATGATCCGGTCTGCTGGCCTGTGTTATCAAAACTAATACAAATGATGAACAGGTTTGACTCAGTTGATGAGTTCAAACTGTCTGGGGGTGATAATCATTAAAGATAACCATGAATGGCACAAAATTCTAATCATTTTACAATTTGCTGGGTTATATTTTGAAAAGATTGATGGATTTGGTTCCACAAATCATTACATTTATCAGAGCAAAAAAAACAACCCATTACTAACATCCATCCATCCATCCATCCATCCATCCATTTCACAATTCGCTTTATCCTCACAAGGGTCACGGGGCATGCTGGAGCCTACCCCAGCCGTCTTTGAGCAGTAGGCAGGGGACACCCTGAACCGGTTGCCAGCTAATCGCAGGGCACACATAGACGAACATGCATCCACGCTCACACTCACACCTTGGGACAATTTAGAGTGTTCAATCAGCCTACTTAAGCCAACACGTGAGGAAAAAATGTGTGTCTGTGTATTCTTTTACGCCAGCATTAGGGAGCCATCAATTCAAACTGGTACATAAAATAAATATTTTGATCCATTTTTTTTTTTTTGCGGTTATGGTCGGAGTATGATAAGTACAATTGTGTACTCAATTATGAACAGACAGTTATGACCACTGCGGAAACTATTATGGTATGCAAATATTTTTAAAATTACTTTTTGATGATTTGAAATATTTTCTTTCCTATTACCCTGAGCACTTCAAATTCAAAACCCCATGAGGCAAACTGATAATGCATTAGAGGCATGTTCATTTGACACTGTTTGGCAATAGAGAGCTGAAACGAGTGGTGCAAAACATGCGTAAGTGTGCTTGGCAGGTTTGCTAACAAATTTGCACACAGCAGCACCGGGTTATCGATTTCTTCATGTGTTGTTTTTCCCACGATCACAACACAGGTGGTGTGATAACATCATTCAAAACTCTTTGCTCTTACTTGCATCGACATGATCACATTACCCAATTAAGTTAAATTAGCCAAACTCATGCATAGACATGTAATCGGGGTGGATTCTGTTAAAACATGACCTGAGCTACCAAATTTTCGTTCTGGAAAAAAGGCAATGGAATTGCATTGCCTTCTTTCTTTTTGTTTTTGCTGTGGCAATATTTTCTGAACTGAATGATCAAGAGTTGGCTATTATCCTTGAAACAGGAGGACAGGTTGTGTGGAGCAAACACAGACTGAAGTATTAAACATCGTCTGAGTAACACACGCAGTGGCTGTGCTGAATTTTTTTTTCTGGGAATGAAAAACCCAAGCCCCCCAACACACATATTCGGTTTTCACCAGATGCACCTGCGTGCCAATTGTAGGTTGTCGATGGATGTTGGCCAGGTAGTCAGGATAAAAGATGGACTTTTGCTCTCCCCCACAATATCAGTCAAGTTTATTTATTCAGTTGTTGACGGCCATTTGAATTAAAAGCACCACCTGAAGATTGGATAAGGTTTAATTTGAAATGAAGCCAAAGAAAGCCATGCAGGCGAGCCAAAACAGACAGTGAGCATTGGGGATTAGACAAAACAAACCGAGCTTTATTTAATCAGCTGTGTATTTTCCCATTACTTTGCTCTGTATTCATTTTTCACATTAAGTACTCAGCATAAATCTCTGAGAGACACATTTGGCGACAACATGTGAAGTTGTCATAATTCTTTTATTATGAAGGTCCCTGAATGAAACGATTGTTTAATGACTCGTATTGTTTTTATTTTTTTTTTATTTTTTAAACACAATAAACAAGAAAGGGCGGGCAGATAATAAAGTGAATCAGTGGCAATTAGTTTGAATGATCAAACTTTATTGTCTGGAACTGATCAAAGAAGAAATCAAGCAACCACTGTATTTTTGCATTCACCTGAATTCTCATGATCAACATTTCCTAGTGAATTGTGGTTAGTTGCCTTGAATAATATTTACCCCTCCATCCAGGCACTGCATACACTCGTGCTGCTATTGCCTGAGGGAAAGAAAGTGGATGTTACTTAAGGCTGCCTCTAGGTTGCAGTGTTGAATTGTGTTTTTTTTTTCCCCCCACTTCACCCGCTTGTTCTTTTCCCCTTTCAAATTGCCATTGCAGATTATTCAATTGCTCCTCCTCAACCAGAAAAAATGTCCTCGACAAATTGATGATCCGGTCTGCTGGCCTGTGTTATCAAAACTAATACAAATGATGAACAGGTTTGACTCAGTTGATGAGTTCAAACTGTCTGGGGGTGATAATCATTAAAGATAACCATGAATGGCACAAAATTCTAATCATTTTACAATTTGCTGGGTTATATTTTGAAAAGATTGATGGATTTGGTTCCACAAATCATTACATTTATCAGAGCAAAAAAAACAACCCATTACTAACATCCATCCATCCATCCATTTCACAATTCGCTTTATCCTCACAAGGGTCACGGGGCATGCTGGAGCCTACCCCAGCCGTCTTTGAGCAGTAGGCAGGGGACACCCTGAACCGGTTGCCAGCTAATCGCAGGGCACACATAGACGAACATGCATCCACGCTCACACTCACACCTTGGGACAATTTAGAGTGTTCAATCAGCCTGCCATGCATGTTTTTGGAATCTGGGAGGAAACGGGAGTACCTGGAGAAAACCCACATAGGCACGGGGAGAACATGCAAACTCCACACAGGGAGGCCGGAACTGGAATTGACAGCACAACACAGCCCTTACACTCAAGCGACAAACGCGTAATTCCATCAAATGCTCACTGGTCAATGGTCATGACGTGTTTCCGGTGGAAAATACGGAGTCTCACAAGCTTCTGGCTTCCGTTTATTCTCAGCTACCAAGACGCCATCTCAAGGAAAAATAAATTCATTTATTTGCTTTAATGCACCACCAACAGTCATGAAAAAAAATAAAATAAATACTGAAGTACTGTACAGCCCTCCTATTATTTCCAGTTTCCCCCACCATCATCAAACAAGGAAATGAGAGGTTTCAATCCACTTTAGCATGTAAAATATTGGATGTTTTGTCTTTCAATTTTTACTTGTCTGCCTCCACCAAAAGGCAGATGGCTCGACGGAAATTTCGAGGCAGACACAAGAAAGAAGGACAATTCCATCTCAAACTGATGCAATCCCCCTCCCGCCACCACCAATCTACAAACAGAAATACAAACCCTCTCCACTTCTTCTGCCCCC